TCGTGCGTGGTGACCTACTACAAGATTTCATTTCGATAGAGAATCATAGGAATCATTTCTCTTATTCTGCTACCGAATAGTATTGTACACACCACATAGCATCGTTCGCTTTAGCAACCCCTATCTCTATTTCGTTTTTCGTAGTAATGTAATCACCTAATACAAATGCTTATTTTGTGATACGTGTCTCACTATATGCCAACAATAATAACTTGCACTTGTAAGTACGGGGTTTTCATCTTTGTTATAGCCAGCTACTGTTTGCTTACACAAGACTTTATTTCGTGTGCAACAAAAACTGTTATTGACTCGCAGGCATTGTTGTGATGATGCTGTACATAAAAATTTGAAACATGAACGGCTCAGCCGCACTTTTATAAGATACGCATACAACAACAACAGCGATGATGATGCACTCATTCTTCCGCTATACCAATGAGCATTAGTATTATATACCACGTTCTTAGAATTGGCTCATTCTAGATTCTTCTTCTACTGTATGTTCCACTTGTATAGTGTGTACTAGTGAAGTATGATAAAAGGTAAACAATATGATCATCATGGATACATAACTTCTTGATACATAACAAGTTGGGCGGTGATGTTGTTGTTGTTGTTATTGATGATGCTGATCTAATTTGCCATCTTTGGTTGGTATGTCATGAGGATGTTCTAGAACCGCCTACGATCCACGAATTGAGTCCATCTTTAGCCGTATTGTGTCGCATAAGCAAACGGATGATGCTGTACCAGTTGTTGTCATGACAACAACGACTACGAAACATCATTCGTCGTTTGCGGTTACGACAGCATAAAAGATACAGCTCATGTACTATTCGAGCTGATGTAGATACCTGTCTTGTAGCAAATAGTTGCTATTGTTATGCTGATAACATTTCCTACAAAAGACAAAATCAGCCTGTTTTTATGCGATCGGTGTTGAATATAAGGCATTCGGAGAACTCTATGAAATATGGCTATGCAAAGTTTCTTTTTGTTCCACACAGATAAACAACTACTAGATCCAACTCCTTACAGTAAATAGCACAACAGCCAAGTTTTCAAAACTTTGCACGCGTCCGATAAAAGGCAATGTGATATTCAGAGAAACTTTGATAATACATTCTACTGCTAATCTTACAATGCCACGGGCGTTCGAGGACGGCTCTTGCCTATTACTGTTATTGTTATTGTGGCGACTGTTGTCGACTGAAGAACTGGGACATCGGATGGGTTGTCTCACTACGAATCTGGTCATGGCCACCAAATACCCAGACCGATGATCACGGTGCTACAACGGAACGGATGATGACTTTACGGAGGAGTGTATTTAGATGCATAATACAACTGCTGGTTGTTGCATCTGCTGTACGTGATAGCCCCCCCCACTGTCATTTGACCATTAATATTATCTTTACTGATCTTTAATCATCTGACCCTCATGGCGTTTGATGTCGTTTGGCCTTAGACGACGACGGAAGGGTGATGATAGGAAGTATGGCTAGTTGTATATCCGTGTATATACAAGAGAATATAATTATGCAACCATATGCAATCATCGTCATGAAACAATTGCACTTCACTTATCCCCGCCACCTCCCACAGCACCTCATTCACAGATTACCTTGTCTTCTATTTCCTTCCCGACAGCATATATAAGAGACGAGGAAGGAGAGGATAAAAGAAGCCACTTTTTCTTTGCTACTAATCATCATCGCCAAACATTATCGGTATCGTGCTCCGAAGCTTTATAGATTAGAAACACATCGGATATTTTTCGAACCCGCTTATTTTTGCTTATTATGATTGTGTATAACGTTATGTGTGCAATAATACACAACAAGAAAGACAGACCCCCACCGGATCCCCGTCATTCTTGAAATAGAAAATTCTCTTCCACTACAACAACAAAGTTTTTATGCTGGTGACACGGACGTTCCCATGACCCTTCTTGCTTTGGTTGTACAGTAGGAGCTCGGATCCCAGACGGCTCATTCACAACATGCGTAGTGTCTTTACTTGTGATATGTTCTTTGGCCCGTCAATGATTGTCACAAGTGGTATCACTAGTTAGCTGTAGCTTGGTTTTCTGCTGAGATGATAAAAAAACACACTCACACTCACACTCACACGGGCACGGCTTGGTTTTGACTGCAGAATGTTGTATATTAAAATCAGCTAGAAACAAAGTCATTTACACCTTGTTTCACGATTGACAAAATTCTTCTTCTGCACATATAACACAAAGTTGTTCGTTCCAGCCCCTTGTACTCTGATGTTGTGTTCGCGTTTATGGGAAGTGCATGGACTTTTGCGTATATGCGCGGGGATGTACATCATGCTGCTGTCCGTCGGGCTTTGGTGCACTTGCAGAAAAAGAGAAAGAGAGAGAAGAACAGTAACCGGGAGAATGCTGACGACGAGATTGGTTATTACTAATTTGCACCCTCGTCATTTCAAAACTTCTTTTACGTTCTTCTTTGCCTTAATTACCGGCTTTATAATAAGGATCCGCTTTATCTTGATTGCCTGTCAAAAAGAAATGTCAAATAAAATGTATGTTGTGATGGTAATTTTCGTTTCTTAGGAGCTCTGTGTGTGTGAACCGAAGCTAAATGATATCGGGTCAGCGCGGGTGCTGGCGTGTATCCTAGATACAACTAAAACAAACAAGGCAAACGGAATCCACCTTCCGTTGTTCCCCATGTCAGATTAGGGTACTGACCCTGTGATGTGCTAGGAATCTTTTTCATAAACGGGTAACAAGAACGGGCATGTCATTTGTTTTTGGTTTTTTCAGCTCGGGGATGGGTGGAAAGAAACACAAGGTGATCTAGTATGGTACAAGCGTGGTTCATTATCATAAGGCAATGGTATATATATACATAATGTAACCTTCTGTTCTGGGGCTGGTGTGTTTTTTACTCAAATAATGTAATACAGACAGTACAGTGCATACATACCGCAGCAGGAACAATAACAGGTTTATTTCGCTTGTGCCTATGAAAGGGAAAGGAGGGAAAACTATAGTGGGCTTATCGTCGGTAACCACCAGAATGGTAAGGTACCACATTCATTACGCAGGGAACTACCATAATACTCCCATAGCATAATATCCAAAGCCAAGTGGATTATTGCTGCTACGGCTTATTGCATTCATCGATATACTTCATGGAGCCCATTTTACTTTCAAAGGCTCTCGCACAATATCGAACCGTTTCATTATGTAAGATTGCGTAAAGACGCCATACATGTTAGAAAAAAGAATAGGCCACATGTAACAACAAAAACCGTGATATATGCTGTGTGACTTTACAGGAGAAAAACAAAGGTGCGTGTGTCGGGATGTGTTTAGGATGGGGGGGAAAGAAGAAAGAACAAGAAGCAGCAGCAGCAGCAGAGAGAAAGGGGGACTAAGAGCAACAGCTCCAAGAAGGGAAATACCTGGTTGGGGGTGGAATGAAAAGGATTCCGAGTCGGATCCACTGAGTGCTCGGTAAGTACTGCTAGTAGTACTACATGACCATCGCCCCTTTCTTTTTTGTCAAATAAGGCTTATAAGGAAAAGTCTACATGAAATGACTCCCCGTCATTACGCTTTGTTCAAAAGGGTTAACATGATGATGATGGTGCTGAAGGAGTCCAAAAAAGAAAAAGGGAGCTGTAAAGGTGGCGCAATAGTAAGAAGAAGGGGTGGCGGTATATATCGCTGATTGGAGGAGGACTGTTGTTCTCGTTGTTGTCCTTGAAAAGATCATACATCGTCAGTTAGATGTATACTTCTAGTAGTAGGCGATTTGCCCGCAGCGGGGAGATGCAAGACCATAGAGCAACAAACAATGATTATAAACTGAGTAGACAGATCGGCAGCGATGGTGCAATGTTCCTGAGCAAAAGGAGAGGAGTCCCTTCTCGTTACTATCTGCTACCGACAGTACGTATGGTACATACATCATGTACTTTTGTATACGTGATTAATCCCCTTTTAGCCAAACTGCTGGCCCCCTTTTTCCCTTCTTTCGCTTCCCTTAAGCTCATAATGACGACAGTATTATTAATAGCAGTATTCAGACATAACTTGTTGTTGTTAAGGTAAGGGTTCTGTCATTTCCGATGATATGGATTGAGAGAGAATAATTGTGTTAATTCTAATTCCATCAGCCAGTAGTAGTAGTAAGTAAAGTGGTAGTAACTTCAACCCCATTCCCTTCCCCCCAATTATGATGACCCTTCTGATTTTCTCTCGACGGAGCCGTAATAGTAATCAGATCGCCCGGGATTACTGACAAGAGCAAGGAAATGATCACCGGTCAAGCACTGACCACGGGATTTGCTGGAGCAGAGACCCAAAAATGTGCACGGGTTCACAAGCAGCAGTAGGCAAGAATACGGACACAACAAAAAAAGGCAAGGGGGGTAAGGTGCACTGTTGTTTTTGTGTGTGCGTATATATGCAAACTCACTTGCTTATCCTTACGTCCTTTGATCGGATGCTGTTGGTCATATCGTAAATATAACTGTCACTTTATTACTGGCTATTCCGGACCCCTAGTAACTTACCTAGCAGTCGTATGCAATGTAGTAGTAGTAGTAGTAGTAGTAGTAGTAGTAGTAGAAAAGAGAAGGAATGTTATCCGACGGATACTAGCTGTGGGCTCATTCTGTGCGATGTGCTATGTGTTATGCGGTACCAGCAGACCTAGAGCTTCGGATAATGGGGATTCTGTGCTGACCCAACCGATGATGCCCGACTCCTCCCCTTTTACGCATTACCACTGCCCCCAGTCCCCTTCTTACATCACGTAAGATATAACATCCCCTCTCCCCCGAAAGAAAAAACACCCGCGCGCCGCATCAAAAAGGATATCCCCTTTTGCACCTTTCTTCGTCCTTTCTTCTCTCTCTCTCTCTCTCCCTCTCTCCCCTTCCCTCTTTCTCTTCTTTCGTCTTTCAATCGTTCCTCTTTTGCTCGCTTATTTCCTGGTTACAGTTAAGCAACCATGACCACTCACGGAACCGTCAACGGAATTACTACTGCTTCAACTACAACTACTGCTCCTGCAACTGTACAGCAGCAACGGCAACAACAAACTCCGTACTCAGCAGAAGCACCACCACCATCGCCAGTACAGCAATCGCATCAATCAGCCGCAACTGCTGCGCCAAAGTCGCAACCAGTAGACAAAACGCGACGTAAACGACTCAAGGTGGTCAGCGCATGTGGCGAGTGTCGTCGAAAAAAGACAAAGTGCAATGGCGAACAGCCATGTGCGGGATGCATCAAGGCTCATGTCGACTGCATATACACTTTATCATCCGCTGCGGCTGCCAAAGCCAATGGTAGTACAATTCCATCATCCTCGTCTTCCGCAAAACACCATCCCACCACTACCACTTCTACTACGTTGCGCCTGTCACCACCACCACCGTCGTCATCGTCGTCGCCGCCAGCAGGTGCCAATGCTAATACTAAGCAGCAACAAATTATTTCTCCTCCTCATACTGCTGCATCATCGTCTCAGCAGCGTCCTATACATAACAATAATCCTCATCATCATTGGCATCAGG